GTCTGGATACACTGATCAGTATTTCAAGCTGCTAGAGAAGATTATCATTGATGATGTAATAAATAAGTAAATAAGTGTTTATTTATATTTATTTACAAGTCTCTCGATCTCGATAGAAATGAATTTATACGTGAAACTGAAATTTTCAAGATTATTTTCTTTGCACATCTGAACGTATTTTTTTTTACCAGCTACCCGACACAATAAAAAAAGAAAGAAACATACGGTTATACGAGAAAAAGACCATCAGTAACCTTGAAGAAAATAAATTTCTCTAAAATTCGATTACTATTGGCCCCTAAGTAAGAAATATTTTTTGCATCGTCGCGAATTCGAAAAGATATTTCTATTTTAACAAATTCAGAATAGAAGATCTAATGAAACTGTACTTATAAATATCAGTTTGCACATTAAATATTGGCAACAGTGCAATCAACAAATTAGAAAATTACAGTTTCACATTTGTCCGACGATTTAAAAAAAGAAAAGAAAACAGAAAGAGATATCGTTCAAATTTAAATTCGAGAGCTCGAGTCGGGAACTTCCTTTCGTGTGATTGAGAGCAGGCGGTGATCACGTTGCCTCGGTGATTCATTTTGCAGAAACTCCGTTGACCTTGGCCACGACCCTGAAGAAGCCGTCGAAGGTGATAATAGCGCTGGTGAACGGCGGCGCGTTGCTGGACTATCGAACGAAGGAGGGCCTGACGGCGATGCACCGCGCGGTCGAGCGAAACAGCTTGGAGGCGGTGAAGACGTTGCTGGAGCTCGGCGCCAGCCCCAATTACAAGGACACCAAAGGACTGACGCCCCTCTACTACAGCGTTATATACAAGACCGATCCGATGCTGTGCGAGACGCTGCTGCACGACCACGCGACCATCGGCGCGCAGGATTTGCAGGGGTGGCAGGAAGTGCATCAGGTCTTTCTCTTTCCTTCCTCGTATTAAAATGAAAGAAAAACCATGGGGGAGGGTTGAATAAAAACGTGGAAAAAAAAAATGCGCAGAAGTTCAGCGTGGTGCATGGTGGTGAGGGTTGAAGGACAGGGAACGTGGAGAGAAAAAAAAGGGAAAAAAGTACGGTTTAATTATAATCGCGGGTCCCCCTTCGATAATCGATACTTGGCGTGTTGTGTTCGCAGGCCTGCCGCAACAACCTGGTCCAACACCTGGATCACTTGCTTTTTTACGGGGCGGACATGAACGCGCGTAACGCGTCCGGTAATACGCCGTTGCACGTTTGCGCAGTGAACAACACGGACTCCTCTTGCATACGCCAGTTGCTGTTCAGAGGCGCGCAGAAGGACAGCCTGAACTACGCGAACCAAACGCCGTACCAGGTCGCCGTGATCGCCGGGAACATGGAGCTGGCCGAGGTCATTAAGAATTATCAGCCGGAGGAAGTTGGTGAGTGCCCAGCCCGCACCGACAGATAGCGCATTCGACGTGATTAGACGAAGAAGGAGCTTTATCATTCTTCCGATCGATCGAGCAAATATACATATATATATATATA